AGGTAGGGTAAAATGCGCGAGAGACGCGACGTTTCGAGGAAAAATCTCGGTTAAATTACACGATGATACATGAGGAGAGGTTCGTGTGCGCTGCCGGGCGCGCGACAGTTGCATGTGCATACGTCTCAATTCCGCGTTAAACTCACGGCCGCGTCTGTGTTTTATCGCCTGATGTCTTCGTAAGCGCACAACCCCGTTCGAGTCGATCGATATCGATTCAATTGCGAGACGGTCGTCTCCTCGTGTACATCGATAAACGATGTGTGTTTTTCACGACCGATCGGAGCGCTCTTTTTTTTTAATCTTAAATCGGAAACGAATTTACGAGATTGTATAATTTACGCGCCAATATTACAAAAACATTTTATTTTTCACATAATTAGCAATGACAAACGCATTACCGAGCGAAAAAGAAATCTGTTACGCAAAATGTTGTTGGTATAGAATTGGTATAAAAAATTTCTTAAGAAAAATCATGGAAATTACTCAAGCGACAAATAACGAAAATCAATGTTAACCGCGTTCCGGCATCACGCACGTTCCGCTTAATAAATTTCCTCGATTCGATCGACGGTGTGTTTCAAACACGCACGCGTGTTTGACAATCGATAAAATGTGCTTTCAACCGGCGCGGCGACTAAGCGCCAGTTTGCAACAAATAATGCAACGTAGCGGAAGGAGATGGGACATAAATCTCTTTACTGACAATTATATCAAAAACAAGTACAAGAGTTTCCATACACGTGAACAAAAACGTGTCGCGCTCAGGAAACACCTGCTCTTAAATTCGTTCGCGAATCGTTTCGTTCGCAAATTGCAGCGAGCGCGCATGTGTAAATATTTATGCGAATAAAATTTATTTGCGCGAAACGATTTCTTCGAAGCAACACATTTTGGAGCAAGAAAACGGACTCTTTTTTTTTTTTTTTCTGAGTCACAAACAGCGACAACATCGGACTGCGGTTCTTCCGCGAACTTGTTCCGCGTCGCGTGTTCGTACGTTTCTTTTCAGTATCGAAACAAACAGTCGTGAGACACGAAGGAAGGACGAGCGGTTTCTTAAAGCGGCGAGGAGATACGCGCGCGCGTTCTCCCTTTTTCCTTATAACCCCCGAAAATTCGATTTCGCTGCCGCCAGGTATTTTAACAAGACCGATATTCCGTGTCGGCGACGCGCCGAAAGGAAACGACTGGTGACGAACGACGGGGGGGTAGGGGGTGGGAACCGAGTGTGTGTGTACACGAATTCGGGGACTAATCTGGCCAATTAAAAAAGACCCGGTGAGAGAGAGAGAGAGGAGAGAGAGAGACCACGACCGAGAGAAACGGCGGGCCACAAATTCGAGAATTCGCCGATGGTATTCGCTAATGAGTGCGACTTCTCTAGCCCCTTCCGTTCCTATCTCTCTTTTCTCTCCCTTCGCTCTTTTCTTTGGGTGTTTTTTTTTCTCTCTTTTTCGCTCTGTTTTTCGGCTATGCGTCTCATCTACTGGTCCCCGCAATCCTGCGGTACTGGAAAACGTTAATTAAACGCGCCACTTCCGAGCGCTTCGCGTAGAAACAAGATCCGTCGTTAATTAAACGGTCGACAGAAAGAGAGAGAGAGAGAGAGAGAAAAAGAGTCTTTCGGCGAGTTGTCTGATCGCGAAGCGTGAGAATATCGTATACAGAGAATAATTTTGCAAAATCCGTTTTTTTTTTTTTTTTTCTGTCGACGAGAGAAACTGCTTTCATCGTTGAAGCACATTCGCGAACTTTTCGATTGAATGTTTGTTCCCGAAATAGAAAAATAAAATAATTGCGCCAATTTGTAAATGCGCACATGATTTGGCGAGCGCGTAGTTGGTTTAATTTTTTAAGTGATCAATTTCTCGGTGGAACGAACACGTTTCCTCTCTTCCCACGCGAAATCAATCGGCTATCGTTAATGGAGGACTCGTTAATTAGAGAACGTTTACCGTCGCGTAGAAGGGGAACGGGAAACGTCAAACCGTTCGGAAGAGTGGACGGGTCCTCTGTCAGAGGACATTATATCGACGTAGTAGGTCCCGCATCGCGAGTGCTTCATTTCGTCGTTACCTTATTTTATTCCGCCGAGCGCGCACCTGCGCTTCTCTTCTCCTTTTTCTTCTCTTTCCTCCGCCACCATCGCTCGTTCTTGCCTGTCGAGAGAGGCTCCGGTTGCATCGCAAATGTATGCAGGCCGTGTGTGCGCGACCTAGCCTAAGAATCGTTATTTCTGGTTCCACGCATTCAGCGACTCCCCGAGAAAACGTCCGGATTACGTTCTTCGAGAGAGTGGTTGTTCGACAAACAAGCACACCACTATTCCCCCATATTGCAGAAACGGTACGCAGCTCGGAAATCGAGTCAGAAATACAGATACTAATCGAAATATAATTGACCGGTAGGTAATTTTCAAGCGGAGCGTGCGTTAATTTTACCAAACGGTAAATCGAGACGCTTTCGTATCGCGCGATTTCTATGTCACGGGAATCGGATCTACATTTTTCTCGGAGATCTACGTTTAAGTTTGAAGAATTTTTGTTTTTTAATTTTGAATTTTTAATTTGTAACGTTACACAAAAGTACATAATTCTTGCTCATTATAGCTGCACATTGAAATTTCTTCTAATTTACAGTCGATCCCGATTTTCAGTAGTTTCTTGTCTCGTTTTTATCCTCAACATACCAAAAATGCGTCCCATTCCTTTCGTGTATATCTCTGGACCGCGGCAGCGGCGGCGCCTCTTTGAGACATTTGTCCGTTCGTGTTCTTTCACATGTCAGGCTCTTCTCTCTCTCTCTCTCTCTCTCTCTTTTTCTCTCTTTCTCTCTTCTTACAGAGGTGCTGGCCGATATATACGTATACTCGGGCACGGTCACCGAAGTTGTGACTACCTGCCGCCGCCCCTAATTGGCACGATTTATGTCCGCCGTGGATCGCGCATCTCTCACTTTGCTCTCGCGGTTGACTCCTTCGCCTGTCGAAATTTCCGTCTGATTTGTGAGAGAATCGGCGCGTCTCTTTCTCAGCGCGAGACCGCGACCACCTGTTGTCGCCGGGCTCGCTTCGATCGATTCGATGCATACGCAATTTCGTTCGTAATCGATCTCGCGCGTCTTTAAACGGAGGTCTTTTATCGACGCGAACAGCTGGGAAGGAAATCAGTTCCGCGTTCCTTAATGGCGGACACGTGTTCGCGCGGATTGGCGATCGTCGCAAAAATCATTTCGCGACCGGTCATGCGTGAATCCCGTTCACGTTCGCGATCGATCACGTATCATAGCTACGTCTCGGATGTGCGTTGTTACCGTCAAGTATATAACGGCACCACCGATCGGGAACACAGAGTGTTCGACATTGAATCAACGACGGCGATTCCACAATTAATTACAGACCAATTAATAATAATACAAATTAGCGAACTCAATCGACGGAAATTCTTTAACCTCGCCTCGCGTTATTACGTGTCGTCGATCGGCGCCGATCAACGTAGACGCGCTTTTAATAAATGCACAGAGCTCGTTTTATAATGCGGACCCAACCAGTTTGAGACGAAGAAGCGGTTAGCGGTCGCGCGACGACAGCAGAAACGGGCAGCCAGCAGGTGCGCGCGTCTCTCTTCCTCGAGAGCTAATCTACATGAGTGGAATGCAGTCGAATTGAGGCTTCGAGTTTCCGGTTTTTGTTGTCGTCTTGCGGCGACGCAAAAAATGATAATTAAACGTTTCGAATTATTTTCGGATTTTCTCGTCGCTCTCGCGTCGATCTTTCGCGGTGATTATCGTGGGAGCTTCACGGGGAGCGTCCCCGGCGCTAACCGTAAACGCGATCTGGTTGTAAAATGAGGTAACGATCGCGTTGGACGAGCACGCGCGCTATTGGGTGAAAAGTGATCGTTACTTTGTGTGCGCGCTATAGCTGGGCGGGAACGTGTATTAAACGTTTTATGTGTTTTTAGGAAACAACGAAATAAATGAAATCGCGTAATTACGTAAATCGGATAATTGCAAAATTTATTTTACCGCGAGATAGATTCAAAGTTTAATTCTCAAAAGAAGTATAGTACATTTTTTCAATTTATTTTCGTAATTTAGGTAATCCCCTTCATCGTGCACGTGAATTTTATTATTTATAATCGTTCTTGTTTGTGATTCGGGCGATTAAAATAATTGCCATTTGAGAAAAACGGCGCGGATAAAATGACCCGATGAATCCAAGTGTCGTTAAGTTCTTTTTTCTCAAATGTGTGCCGTTTTTTGCGACATTCTCTCCTTCTCCGGGTATCGGAGAGCGACTTTTGCAACGGCGATGTTGCGCGCATTTCCGGTCGACCTTAATCGCGCATGCGTGTCGGGTTCCACGCGAAAAGACCTAACAATCTTGCTCGGCATCGCGTGACTTTCGGGGTGGTGGTATACAGGATCGGTAATTTATTCTCGCCGAGGACCCGAGTCGTTTCGTGACGTGTCTCCGTCTTTTTTTTCTCCATAATTCGTTGCGCGCGGAGAAACGATTGTCGCGAAAGGGTTGACGAGGGCGAGAGGGCGAGAGAGCGATTCTTCATGCTACCGCGAGCCGCACGAACGCACAAGGTGCGTGGCGTCCCATGGGAATGAGTTAATTACTTTATACGCACCACCGCGTACAGCGGTGTGGTAATTATCTCGTGTACAAGCAGATGAATCGCACAAATGGTCGTACATTCGGAGTATCTCAACTGTTAAATTACATCGACACGTTTTACAGTTTTTCAAATTAATTAAGTTAATAATTAATAAACTTGAAATATATTAATTATTGTCTAGAACACGATAATAAATAATAATGATTAATATTGATATTATCTTAATTACATGTTTATTCAAGCGTCTGATGAGCACATATTTATATATTTTACTCTTCTCTTTTATTTATCACACACGTGACGATACAATTTTGTGGAAGTTTGACTAAGCGAATAATAAACAAGGGGGATATTTATGTTTCGTTTCAGTGGCGGAAAGTTCATCACCGTTGGTGACAGAATTAGATTACCGGACGACGTCACGATGGGATATATCATCGAGTATCTTCTAAAAAAGCAACTCACAGTGGTGGAGCAGTTTCACTCGCATTTGGAGCCAATGAAGTTTCTGAACAAGGATACTTTCCATGAGCAGGTAATTACAAATGCAAAAAAAAAAAAAGTACACGTTTAAATGTGCGACAGGATATAAAATTGGATTTTCATACACAATTACCGCAGAATATGACTGCAATCAGTAGGGGCAAAGTTTTGATTTAATGCGAGTGTGTGTGTGTGTGTGCGCGCATGTATTTGCGCAGTAATAATAATTTATCGCCGTAATACAAGACGTATAAGTAGCCGAAATTAATATTTGTGGCATGTTCTGGATGTGACAGACTGGTCGCGATAAATAGCATGATGATAAATAATGGAGTGATAATAGAATGATTTGAAGCGCGCAATGAATCAGACCCACGTGCATCGAGTGCATTGTCTGTTTTATTTCACGAAACACAATAGTCATTATTTAATCGTATGTGTGTTTCCGCTTATTACGCGACTTTGCGAACTATCATAATAGGAAATATCCTCAGAGGACATCTCACACACATGACCTGTTGACAAATACGTACGTGTTATTGACTAAATTAATCCACACACAGAAAATATGGAAAATGTTATGTGTATATTAAATTTAAAAAAAATCGCAAACAATACACATACAAGAAGAGTTAAATCTGTCGATCAAATAGAAATAATAAAATTTGGAATTTTATATTTGTCATATTTCGAAAATTAGTAAACGAAATCTTTTTCAAGAATTGCGATAAATCTAAAAACAAAAAAACATGATGTGTAAACACTCACTCATTACTCGCTTAATCATTAAATTACTATGATGTGTGCGTCAAAGATCGGGTTACCGGGTACGTACACGAGAGATCGTGTGACCAGAGAAAATGAACGCGCGTACATGCGAAACGCTAGCACAAAAACTTCTTTCTTTCACGACCGACATTATCCGATGCTTTGGTCTCGGATTTCGCAAAGTACAGGTACGAACGCGTGCATATACGCACGCCGCCAAAATAAACGCCGTCGAATAAAAATACGGTGTCATTTTCATCAGCGTGGAACCGCGGGTTTATTATCGCTCTGTTTTCTTATAATCTCTTTCTCTCTCTCTCTCGAAAAAAAAATAGATTTTGAGCTCTCAAGTGAAGGAAGTTTCGCGTTTTTATGTTTTAGGTGTCTTTCAGTTATTCTAAAGGACCGAGAGACGAATGGAATATCCTGAAGATCGACGGTTTCGATATGAAGAACGACCCAAAAAGGTAAAACACACAAAATATATATTATTTTACGGATTTTACAGTCTCGTGTCAACTTTTATATTTCACGTGTTATTACACGCGCTTTGAATTCTTTCGATATTTCGATATAAATTCCCGCGATATAAAAGAGATATAAATACATCATCATTTGTATCCTTTATATGGATTTATTCTGAATGATTGCGCGTTTGCACATGTTCGCGCGCGAATATGTGTAAAACGGTCGTTTTGTGAAATAACACGCGCAATTTACGTGAAGCGACGCGTCAACGTATAAACATATGCAATCTGTGCATTCACATTACTGTACATACGCGAAATGTCTCGCGACGGTTTTCGTGTAATTTGCGCCGGTGAAAGACGGAAGGGAGATGAATAATTACGACAAAGACAACGGCGATGACGACGACGACGACGACGACGACATTGCGATGTGCGCTTTCGTAAGTTTTAATTGACTTTATAATAATTACGACCTTTTACCACCCTTTCTCTTTCGCGTTCACCGCCCCCGTTACTCGGCATTATCTTCCCTGTGAGAGAGCAAGAGAAAAATAACCTGTTTCCGGTTGACGCGAGTTTCACCTTGCTCTTCTTCAATATTCTGCCGTACTTTTTCTACAAGTCAAGTTTTGCATTTGAGAATATTTAATGAGAAGAGAAAACATCGCGGGACGCGTTTGTGTTGCTGTGTGCTAGCAGTGAATCTGACTGGGTTAGAATCGAGACGGAAACGTAGATATTAAACTTTTCCGCGTCTCTCTTTTGTTATTCTTCTCGAGAAGGAGAAAGAGAGAGAGGAGAAGAAAAAAGAAATAATATTTTATTAAAAGTTTATATTACGAAAGTTCTCCCCGAGATTGGACAAAATTGATTAGATTTGCAGAGAGACGGTATTTGATGCAGTTTGGATTTCGGAGCAGAAATTGTTAGCATCGTCAGAGAAATATCTTTGTATCACAGAAACTTTGTAGAAATCGCTAATAGACTCTTCCGGAGTCTTATTAATGTGTGCGTATGTATTTATTTTTTGTTCTAGATTTAAATCCATCCATTGCCACTTGTTTCCGTACGTATCCTACTGCCCGCACAGATGATGAAGATCAGTGCGACGAACGTATGTAATTGAAAAAACAAAGCAAAAGAAAGCAAATAGAGCGATTTCTTGTTGTTAGACAAAATTATAAGGGAGGCACCAATGGCAAACTTTTATTTTGTTTGTGTAGAATTTTTTATCCACTAATAACATTTTATTTTTGTGAAAAAGTTTTGTGTCTTTTTTCAACTTGTAAAAGAAAAAAACGCATGTGTTAAAAGTAACATTACGGGGCTATGATTCTTGTTGATCCGAGGAATGTACATAAAGGCAGGTAAAGTTTTGTCATTGATGTTTCATAATCACTGATCTGTGTAATTAATACTTACATGTAGGTAAAAATTGGCGAGGAAATAGAAGAATAAGAAGAAACACGGTAAGCAAGAATGATAAAAAATAGAACTACAACGTATTTCTTGTATTTTTTTCTTTTTTCGCGAGAATGGGAATTTACAATCTCGCGCAGACGCATAAAACAGCTGTGCAATACACAATATAGAACATTCTTGTACATAAGATAAGCTTGTACATATATACATATATAACGTAACTGTGTAATTCACTGAGACGGCCTCGTCGCGTGAAATGAAATTAAGCTAGTCCTTTGCAGAAAGACAAACAGTTGTATATAATGTGATATTTACCGCGTGCTAGTGCTCACTTGGATGTACGTACATGTGTATAATCTTCAATCTCTCATATATATTATATTATATTATATTATCGTATATATGCATGTATGTGTGTGTATATACGTATGTGCATATATATATATATATAAAACACACATAAAAAAAAAAAATAGAAGAGTTTTGCATTTCACTCTCCTAGGTATCTTATCTAAATTTTCTTGGTATCTTCTAGAATATTTATAAGTCGAATCTTAAATATTTGTGTGCAATATGAAATATTATACGAGTTGTTTATTTTCAAAATATAATATAATGCCAGATCGCTTTCGATTCTTTGCAGACACAATTGAACAGAAAATGTGTATTAATTAATTATATATAATTCATAATATAATTAATAATACAATTAATTCCATATAATATGTATAATTATTTTATATAATTTATGTATGATTCTATGCATCAATTTCTCTAGCTAAAAGTATCAAAAAAATAACTTCAATTTGAAAATACTAGCACAACACAGGCGCGCGCTACGCGCACGCTATTGTTATTTTTATTTAACATGTTGTCAGTGAACACAACCTGTCACCGCGATGACAGATAGTATATGCGTCTTATAAACCATATAATACACATGTGAGAAATGTCAGAAATAACGCATGAAAATCAAACTCAAAAAATAGTGAGAGAAAGAAGTGGAAAAACAACACGTGACTAAAATTATGTGACAGGGAAAAGGGTAAAAAAGAGAATATTATATATATTATATGTGATATTCTATATCTATATATAATACACATACATACGCATATATGTATGTATATATATATACATATACATATACATATAAGTCAGTAACACCGCCGCGGTCGCGCGACCGAGGTCAGTGACTCCACCGCAGTCGCGCGACCGAGGTCATTGACCCCGCCGCGGTCGCGTGACTGCGCGGCCGAGGTCAGTGACTCCTCCCCCACCAAGGCCGCGCGGCCGAGGTCAGTGCCCCGCCAAGGCCGCGCGGCGGAGGTCAGTGCCCTGCCAAGGCCGTGCGGCGGAGGTCAGTGACATTACTGTAGTATGTATATAATACATATAATACAATATAAAGTATAATATTATAAATATATAATAAATTATATGTNTAATATGTATTATTTAATGTATTATTTATGTATATATAATATAAATTACAGTCACGTTATTTTCACGCGTTTTTCTACTCTTTCCTGTCACGTGATTTTAAGTACGTTTTTAATTTTCTCTACATATATGACGAACTGTCTCAAAATCGCTTTTCATTATTTACTCTCTCGATCTTACCGATTCGATTAGACTCGATCAACCAACCAACCAATCGGCAACGCGGAAGAGGCAACAATAGGTACGATATATTCGACTCCAAACGCGCACTTCTTGGTCCAAATGCCTTTTTTAATATAGGAAACAACTCGTATTTATTAGTCGTCACTCTTGAAAAATCGAATGCATCAGTTGTGAAATAAAAAGAAGTGACGGTGTATAAATGGGATCTCGATATAGTTCTCGATAAGATATATATGTATTATAATGTAGTTACATGTATTTAGCTGATATATATATATGTACGTAAAACAAACGCGGAAGTTGTGGTTTTTTCTGTTTTTATTATTCTAATGTTATTGAAACTTCGAAAATATGAGATTTATGACATCAATTATAATCTGTGGTATAATGCGATCATGTTTCATATAATAAATGATGTATTGAACATTAATTGTTTGAATTCTGGTATCGTCAACCTTTCTTTGTGTATCATATTTTTATTTTGTGCAACGTTACCAGAATTCTTTAACATAATAAAATGTATTATCTCTGTAATTTTTTTACTACAACATGCTTCCTCTTCAAATAGTCAAAACTCCTTTCCTACATGTTCGTCTCTATATATGTACTATAATAAATCACTAATAAAAAAAAAAAAAAAAAACCATAACAGTTGACAGTTTCACAGAGATGTAACATGTCCATTAGACATCCATAGCTCCATGGGACATTTAAATTAATGAACGTCTAATGTAGGTTTCTGTGGATTTTTGTTCTATGTGTTTTCTAACTCTTTTTTTTTATAGTTTTTTCTCTTGCTGTTCGCGTCTCGAGAAAATTTAATTTTTTTTTCTCTCGAACAAATTTGTGTTAACATTTATATAATTATATATATTATAACTCTTATGTTTCTCAAAAAGAATTCGAATTGCTTTAATATATCAGAAAAGGGAGTCGTACGTAGAGTTCAATAAGAGAAAAAAAACATGTGAACGAGTAACAAAGACGCTACTATCATTATTTACTGACGTGCAATCATTTATTGACTAGCCGTAGAATGTGTGAATACAAGTTTATAGGAAATATACCCTCATCTGTTATAGTCGATCTAGCAAGACTGTTAGTCGATAAACCAGACTCCTGTCGGTGTTCGAGATATTCAGAAGCGAGCAAACAGTAGCAATTAGTAACTGCCAGTACAAGTTCGTTTTTTATTTCTTGTAATAAGGGTAATTGTTGCTCAGCAGCAGCATCGTAAATAAAAAGTGCAGGCATTAATTAGAGAGGTAGTTCTCACTTTCGCGTAAGCAATATATATCGCTCACTATATCTTGCAATAGCAATTATACCGGTCATCGGCAGCGGAATGTACCAACGGTAAGTAACTTGCGGAGAACAAAATTTATTAATTCAACATGTGGACAATTAATTGTTATTATGGTGTAACTAGAAAAAAAATATATATCTATGTATAATATATAATCTATGTATAATGTACATATAAAAATCATATCTACATATCAGAATAAGTACAAAAAAATTTGCATGCAGTTCTTGAGCGCAATAAAAATCCATTATTTATATGTGATTATAAACTTCATTGTGGAGCTCAATCAAACATAAATATATTATATATAAATTAGAATGTAAAAATATAGAATTAATTGATTTTTATTGCATACAACATATAATGTATGCGTTAATTGGTTTTCCACAAATCGTTATTCACAATCAGAAAAATAATGTCGAGAATCGAACGTTAAAAGTTACATGTTGCGCGTCTTGCATATTATGCGTAGATATCTGTACGCTTGAAATGGCATGAGAAATTTCATCACAAATTCGATATACAAGATAAATATACAATGTTTCGCGTTGTTTCAATATGAATATCAATATGTATTTTCTCGAATATGTTTACCCATACAGTAATAGAAACGTTTTTGCCGCTGATATACGAAAACCACTGTGGGGAGGGGAGGGGCGTTAATTTAACGATATATATTGCGCTCAGCGCCATATAGTTTATTCAATGTTACGTTTGTCGATCTCGTATTTTAAATCTCAAATTTCCAACGTAGCTCTTTCGTAGTCGTTTTACTCGTTTGTATGGCCACTCGATATTCCGTTCTCTCGCTCGCATTGGAAATACATGCCGTGCGAGATGGTCTAAATATCGAATGGATACAAACGTTCGAAAATAGGAGAAAGAGAGAGAACGTGAGAGATGAAGCGAGAAAAGGGGTGGGAAGAAGTGATAGGAATGAAGAAGGAGAATGATACCGAAGGTGGTTAAACGAGGGGTTTAAAGGTCGTGTGCTAAAAAAGCGCCATACGATACAGCACGTATCGTATTCGTGCCCACTACGGTGGATAGAAACAGAACTATTTCGCTCCCCGTGTTGCATAAAGATTCTCAATTGCTCGGCGCCGCGCCGTAGCACTTGGAATTGCAAGCCGTATATTGCGGGATGCATCTTATTTCTACATGCGCTGTCATCCACCCTTCTCCGTCTTCCCTTACTCTCTTCTTCTTCGCACTTGCTGTGTAGTTTTACGCAGAAGATAAATTTTCCGGTAAAAGACTGTTTACGACGACTTTTATCTGTGGATTTTTTTTCTCTGAGATGATATTTTAATTTAATTATACTCGCGTGAAAGAGAGAGAAAGAGAGAGAGAGAGAGAGAGAGAGAGAGAGAGAGAGAGAGAGAGAGACGTGTAATAAGTTTCTTTCGTTATGAAATATTGATTTCTTGAAAATATACTGTGCCTCAAGTGCCGTTTATTGCCGCTTAACTAAATTTACTCAAGAAAATTGTTTTCAATTAAAATGTTTTTAATTAAATTATTGTGATATATTATAACACGCACATATAACGATGTATATTCGTCGCTGTATTTTATCACGACTAGTTATAGTAAATCGAGATATTTCGATTTACATTTTGTGTGTGTGCGTTTGTCATTATAACTTAATTCAAATTTTAATTAAAATACGATGCGTTGTATAATTATAACGTATTAAAGAGGACGCCGACTGTTGAATTTTAAGCAATCTACTGCAGCGCGCGAATCGTTGTGTCGAGTTGCGGTATAAAAAGTCGCCCGCGCGGCAATATCGAAATTTAATAACCGGGACTCGCATAGTCGCCACGTCGACGTATTCACGATATCGGTGGACAAACCAGAAATTATATCGGGGGACACACTGAATACCGCGAGAGGTAAGCCGAGGGAAAAAAAAAAAAAAAAAAAAAAAAAAAAAAAAAAACGTGTGGTTATAAAGGGAACTTCGCCAACCGGATTTATTAGCGCGGCCGCAGTTTCCGCAATCGTTCTTTTCTTTCCTATTTATCTTTTATAACGTCGACGCACACCGTTCCNAAAAGTCGCCCGCGCGGCAATATCGAAATTTAATAACCGGGACTCGCATAGTCGCCACGTCGACGTATTCACGATATCGGTGGACAAACCAGAAAGAATATCGGGCGACACACCGAATACCGCGAGAGGTAATCCGAGGGCATCTAAAAAAAAAAAAAAAAAAAAAAAAACTAAACGAGTGGTCATAAAGGTAACTTCGCCAACCGGATTTATTAGCGCGGCCGCAGTTTCCGCAATCGTTCTTTTCTTTCCTATTTATCTTTTATAACGTCGACGCACACCGTTCCACCACTTTTCCGCAGTGGGATCTCATTCACGAAAAAGCGCGGTGTTTCAGTCACCGGCAATGACGTAAAAGCGAACGTAGGGAGGGAGATGCACTTTGTGCGATGACGTAAGAACAGGATCGAGGCAACCGCGTCCTGCGCCCAAGGCTGAGATATTAAGACGTTCTTCAGAAACGCGTCCAAATAAAGATAAAACGTAATATAGACTTGGTAACATGAGAATATATTCCACTTCTAATTACGCACCGGTACGTATACAAATTGTATAAAATTGAATTCAAAGAGTAAACAAACAGACCGAGAGATCCGACCGATTTAAAAGTTCCCGACCCCGGAGTCGGATTCGTTATTCCGCATTATATACATTCAGCGGAAAAAATATTAACATCATTTAAAAGTTATTGCGTCTGCTATATCGCAGAATTTATAAAATGAGATGATTTCCTCGTCACGTATACATTCATAACTTGTTTCGTCTTCGTTTGTCCGTCACTGTGTGGGAGAAATACAGGAGCAGCGATACGAAACGGGTGGGTGCGGGAAGAGACGATCCGAGTCGCAAGTAGGTCGCATTATCCGAGTCGCGACCTACTTTGGTCCTTTCCATCCTTTTGGTGCGCTTTGTCGACCCCGAAATCCACCCGAAAACTCCGTGCCGTCATGTCCAGCCCATAAATTTTTTTTAATATTCCACACCGTGATAGGATATTCGCGCGGCTCTATCTCGTGATAGAAAGTTACGTCGTGAGAAGATGCGCCGTTTAACAGAGATATGAGCCAACAATATTTCAAACATATACGTACGGGTGGGGGAATCCAAATAGGTCACTTTAAACTTTCGACGCTGTGTACAAGAGCTCTCATTTCCTACTGTCCTCGTACACAATTGCAATTTGTTTCTCCTCTTCAGGTGCGCCAAACGACCGAGATGAAGTTACGCAGGCCGCTTATCCGTCTCGCCATAAACACAATCCCTGGACGTATTTACGGCGAGACAGGAAGAGTCTTTGTACCAGAGCACAATCGACAGTCGGATGAACGTGATATCCTCTCTTTAACTGTATAAGAGAAATAATAAGACCATGTACATATATATTTCGGCCTTATTACTTCTTTTTTTTTTTTTAAAGTCGAACAACGGCTTAAAGTTTAAAGCTGAAATGCGCCGTACGCGTCCCCGAATGTGATCACGCGCTCTACGATTTTAAAATAGAACATCAACCATTTTACACACACACCAGTCGGTTTCCTCCTATTCCGATAATTGTCAGCGACGACTTAGCTGATTCGTAAAGTTTCTGTATTCCATTTATATCATCGGCAAAACGTGCGTTTTTCTGCCGAGAGAAATCTCAATGAAGCAGAACACATCTTATAACTTGCACTTTCATCGAGAAAATAGTAGTAGCTTATATGTGTAACGACGCACACACATGTGTGTGCAAGCGCGGTGGAAGAGTAATCGTACCATTATTGATTTTGTCTCCTTGTATGCGTCTACGTTTGCAGCTTTGTGACACAAAGCAGATACACTCCTCCTCCGGTCGTGGGATGCAGCGTGAGATCGCATTCGCGTGTGGAAGTTCTTGTTCTAGAATTAATCTTAACAAAGGTTCTTGAAACCACATGTTGTTGATATTGCGTGTAGTAATTAGTCGTGAAGTAATCTTAATAATAATTATATCTCGCGCGCGCACATCTTTTTATCTTGAGTAGATAGACAGAATTTCAAACGGAGTCAAATCTCAAAAATGAAATAAATACGTGAAATTTTAGCTCTTGTTAAATTTTATTATCAGACATATAAAAACCATAAGTATTTTACTTATTTAAATACATTAAACAGGGGCAAAACTTTGCTTGCGCGCGCAAAGTTTTATTTTTTTTTTATATAGCGTGTATTTCAATCCTTCAATTACTTATGTTTCTTTTTTATATATAAAATTGACAAGTTCTCTCTACAAAATGGCGGTTTATTTATTTTGTTCGAAGTAATAATCATTTACTTTCAACATTCACTCTGTGTATATGTATACAGGGTGTCCCAGAATTGATTTAACATCTCTCGCACACAGGTAGAAGGAATAAAACTGAGGTGAAAAGTCCTATACCATTTTGCTAGATTCGCAATAGTTACCGAGATTTTAAGTAACAAAAATCCGCGAATAAGCGTGCATCAGGCTGTCTTACGCGCGTAGGACAGCCCGGCGCGCTTCACACAATTACATTTTAATATGTATATGTTATAGTATATGCTGTTATATTAGCTCCTTCCATATGTCGCTATAAGCATATACTATAAGCATATACTATAACATATACATATTAAAATGTAATTGTGTGAAGCGCGCCGGGCTGTGTCCTACGCGCGTAAGACAGTCCGATGCATGCTCATTCGCGGATCTTTGTTAATTAAAATCTCAGTAACTATTGCGAATCTAGCAAAATGGTATAGGACTTTTCACCTCAGTTTTATTCCTTCTACCTGCCTACGAGAGATGTTAAACCAATTCTGGGACACCCTGTATATTTCACGAAGGAAGGGAAGAATTATTAATGACGCAAATACTATTATATTACATATATAATACATTAGTAGTATCATTAATGTAACACATCGACGAGACCATGTGTAAGATCACATTTTTCAGTGAAGACAGAAGTTTCCTGACAGATTCGATTTCCGATATCACTCTTTTCCGCACTACATCGGAACGTTTACTTACATCAGCAAGAAACTTGATCTGTCGCCAAATGCTGAACGTAAAAAGACTACCAATATATTCAAATAGAAAATCCATTATCAGTATTAAATGTAGGCACATTTGCCAGTACTTCGTCAGGCACGAGTCTCTTAAAATAATGTTAGAAAAAAAATATTTCTGATGTAAAATATTTGTTAAATACTTTTACTATTTACGTCATTCAAATGCAATACATACTTCGTCTTCCTCAGCTTTCCGAATCTTCATCTCTTTTTGCTTTAAACCATGTGGACCTAATCTCGCAATTTGTTCGGCTATTCGTGCTTCCTCTTTTTGCGCCAACGTTTCGAACATTTTCACACTCGATATGAATGCTAACGTGATCATTGGCGCGCTAACAAAATACTTTTCGAGGATATTTGCCCAATACGATAATGGTTCGTTTTCTAATTTTGTCACGTCGTTTAGAAAGTTAAATATTTCATCCAACTAGACAAGAAAAAAGTCAAACTAAGCATAAGTAATAATATAATTTACAAGTAAAGCGTAGTTTGTGTGTCAACGGGCTAGAGTGTCATCTGCAACGTACTTTGTTTGTGTTCTCAAACGTGATATAATCGAAAAGAATATTTGCGATGTAAGAATCTGAATTGCTGTTTAAGTCATTTAGAAGGAAAGAACGGTGTTGGTCAATTGCGGTTCTTATTTCCATTTTTATTGGGGTTGTGTCACTGCCACGTAAATTGTTAAGTATCTTTATCAAACACCACTTCATTATCATATTGATTTTACTGGCTACACATAAAATATAGCATTTTACCGAATAGATTTGGAAAAACAATTATTTACTTTTTTTTTAATTGTTTTGTTTTTAAAGTTTCTTGATAACAGATTTCATATATCGATCACAAAATTTGTGAAAAAAGCTCACAATCATATACTCAATAGAAGAATTCGATTTTCAAGAATATTACCTTTGTTACATAAAAAAAAAAAATCACATTTATATCATGTGTATTTGTTATATTTATATTATATGATATATATTTGCGAACATATGTATAAATTTATAAAATACTTGAAACAATTAATATTTACGCATATGCAATATGTCTTCTCTTGTGAGTTGTGTTCCAGAAAGACAAAAATAGAAGATTGTAACTTGATGCTGATAGTAATAGCGATTAATAGTTTTGACGTAGATAATACTTAATTCACGAAACGTTTTATACAACAGATTGGATTTAGATATGAGATAGTTCCAGAGTACTAAACAACTATGCACTTCATATCTTTGATTAAACGAGAACGGCCCTTTCCAAATTAAATTCACTATCCTGTCGTTGTCAGCGATATGGGGATAATAAACGACTAACGTCTTGCTTTTTTTAAACGGCACAGTCGGAGTCCTCCAAGGTTTTCGAAATCTACTCTGTTTTCTCTACAATTTTATGTTAAAAATATGAATCTCTTTAATATGCTTTTGTTTAAATAAACAAAAAAAAAGAAGCGCGCAAAGAGAGATAAAATGATAAAATATTACTTAAAAATATACCTTCAACAGTTTTTGTTCTAAAGGCATTAAAGCGAGGAAAACTTCATTATGTTTCACTTGACCTGCTATAAATATAGTTAAATTTTCTGGCCTATAAAATTTCTTGTGATAGTTTTTGACTTTTTTATTATTGGTGCTTTCACGTAAGTTTTTTGTAACACCTGTGCGTGTAAATGATTGATGTAGATTTAGAATTTGAAAGAGAGAACGAATATGTAAAAATTATGCGTATCATTCTATACCTTTAACATGCGATGTAAAACCACATCTTTTATCGTAAAATGTATTTATAATTTTATGCTCTATCAGATATGCGAGTGTGTTTTCCGCGTATTTTCTTTCACAATAAAGATCACCGGCATCCATACCTTTACCATTAATATGATGTATTTCTGTAAGATATGCTGAAGTCTGTGTCACAATATTATCAAACATTAATTATATTTGTATTTTTTTCAAATAATTTTGCTTGAGTATAAAAGTACTACGTATCACATATAATTAAATTAATTTATAGATGTGCGGGCAAATACAACATTAATAAATAATTTAAACTTATATCAATAAATTATTCACAAGCATGTACGATAAATTTTATATTACTTTAATGTTTTTATCTTTTATAATAAAGTTTTTTCATCAAAAGATACATAGTAAAATAAAACAGATTTGTTAGATTTTTAACAAACAAATGGATATCAACAAAATAATCTAACATACGAAGAAAATATCGTAAAATGTTCAAGTAGTCAGGAGAAAATTGTAAATACTTTGAGACTTGTTTCGATAAACACAGTCAATGGCAGATATCCTTCACACGCGTGTTCCTTTGTCAAGACTTGTTTCTTTGTATTTACAAGTTCCTTATAGCCTTAATTTACAACATTTTACGATCTTTTTCTTTCACGTTAGATTATATATCCCTTTGATTGTCTCTATCATATATATATATATATACACACACATGTATATATTTGTATACACATATATTTGTTAACACTCCGTTCACTGTGATTTATAAATGTTTTAGCTTATTTCTTGATAATGAATATGAAAAGCTTTCCACTTAAAATTTATATTTTGTGCGGTATTTTACTTTAAGTAGCGGAATTTCACGCTACTTAAAGTAATGTATTATTAAATACGTTAAAAAAATACGTTATTAAAGAAATCTTACCGTAAGAGTGGGATAAAAAATATGATCGAGATACACTGGCAGCAGAGAGAAAAATGCTTCGGTACAAGGTGTTTTAACTTGATAACAAGTACGATGATGAAAAATTGTAGCAGTGACGGTGGCTTCGCATTTCTGAATCCATTTCTTCATAACATCTTTATACGGATAATTTTTGCTACCCGTAAAAATAAGATGACACAGTGCGTAAGGCAGACCATCGTTGTTGTGTGTTTTAGTCGCTTTTTCAAAAAAATGTACACTTAACAATTATTTACAAATTATTGTTAAAAAATTTTATAGAAGAGCACATTTTTGGTTTTGTTCAAAAGAGACAACTATTGTCTCGTAAGTTTTGGAAAAGTTTAGCGATACGTGTCAATATATTACCAAAATTGAAATAACTGCTGACAAATGGACCTTCTAACTCTGCGAAACAAATAGTGATTCCGGTGGTTAGGGACTTATACATGTAGAATGGAATAGTATCCTCGATCATCAACGAACATATTTGTTCGAATTCACCTATAGTGTTGCTTGTATAACGCGGCATACCGACGAAAACACTTCGTGTTACTTATCAGAATCTCAAGTTCAAACTGTAGCGCAGAGATTAACGATTGAAGATAGAGCGGGAACTTTATGTGCGCGTTTCCTACCATTACCAGAAACCCCCACTACGCGCATGTTGCGATGTGTATACAATATATTCATGATTCTCTCTCTTTTTCTCTCTTTCTTTGTGTGTTTCTTCTTAATACATATGATATTTATTAGTCACATAAAAGTTTTTGTTTTGAAAAACATTTATTCTTCATAAAAAATTATATTAATGTTATATATAAAAATCATATAAATATAAATACAGAATGTTCCATTTTAAGAGGTATCCTCGAATATCTTGTAAATAACGCATTTTCGTGAAAAATAATTCAGACAACATTTGTTTGATCTTAAGAAGGTCATAAACAATAATCACAATTTGTTGGAGGCGTTAAGATCACGTCAAGATCTTCTTAAACTCATATATTTTTTATGGTCTTCGTTTTTGCACAATTTGTCCATATTTGTCTATTTATGCAGTTTTTTGTCCAACCTTTCGAAACTTGTAATAAAAAGATTGTGATGCGAGAGAAAACGCGTGTTGGGGAAGACAGAAAGGAAACAGGATGAGATAATTATTTGTTTGACAAAAAAAACGTGCAGCTGTTAGTGATAACAGAGAACAATGAAATTATCGTTACTCATAGCAACTAGTTTGGTCCTTTGAGGTGCAAATTGGTGCACCTAACCGATGCGTTGACCAATATGGTTTCATAGTCAAATCAATAGCACACTGGGACCACACTGGATAGCGATGTTGTCTGAGCGAAGCCAGGAAGATTCAAAGGATTAAACGGTATCTAAAGGAAATCCTATTGTTCATATCCGTTCGACGAATGTACATTTCCACCATTAATGGGAAAATAATATTCATAATCTAAATTGTGTTACCTGCCTCAGCACGTTGTTCGCCGGATATTGAAAATAGAGATATCACGAGAATGTATTCAGGGCAAAACCTTTATATGTAATTTTTTTTTGCGTCTATATAGGGCAACCTACAGCGTCTCTCTAATAATCGGCATTTTTTAAATTTTATTTTTTCTGGTTGTTAAAATGTTTGTCTGTGGTTACTTTTTACTTGACATTGTAATAGGCTGACTTTTATGAATTTTTTATGGCAACATGTTATTTCGAAGTCCTTTAGTTTTTTATTCTTTAGTTGTCATTTAAAAAAAAAAACAAAATTGACATGTATTTTAAAATGTAAATTATTGGATGTTATTACGTGTGTGTGTGTGTGTGTGTGTGTATAGAAAATAAAATTAATTTCAATCCGTAACAGGCAATCGATCTTTTCGGAAATACAGATGACTATTACGTGGAAAATTGCGCGTATCAAAAGAGCAGCGATCGTCACTTTGATACAATGTTAATGTATGAATTTGTTACCATGCATATCACATTATCTTTTGGTTAACAAATTTATCAACGCGCGTTAGGTTGGGGGATGCATGTGTGCATTTAATTGATAATCTTCTCACATATTTTTATTGCACTTTTTTATTGTTAACCATACAGGTTGCATAATTCTGCAAAAAAAAAAAAAACAAACTTATCAGCTTTATTGTTTCATTTTTGAAAATTGACTAAAGATAAAGAGTTGCCGCACGCGATCAGTCAGCAATTTATTTGCAAAATTACCATAATTTTACCGTGTGTTTGTTTGCTAAAATATAACAAGGCACAAATTTAATAGACAATTAATTAATAGCCATTAATTGTCTGTCGTTTAATAGAAGTCCTTTGTCCCTTTCTCTTCTATACCATCACGATAGTTATTCGGTTAATAACGCGGATAAACCCGAACGTGTTTTCGCACGGTCTCATTTGACTCGACTATAATGGTCGTCGAATCCCTGTAATAATTAGTCTATTACGTGGATTATTTGTTTACTTTTATGTACGAACAATATTGTTCATCATAGACATAAAACGGAATAAGACAAGATTTTGTTTTCTCGTATATTGACATTGCATTGTCATCTCTCTCTCTCTTTCTCTCTAGTTACTTATAAAATGTGTACTCGGACTTTGTGAAAAAAAAAAAAACTGCATTAACGCTTCGGTGCCAGATATAAAAAATGACCTACGAGTTGTTCAGACTGGGTCTGTGAGATCCACGCGACTCTTTAAGTTTGAATACCTCCGCAAAATGCAAAATTGTTTCAATGTCTCTTTTCTGAATCGAAATATTGAACGATTCTGCTTTGATCAAAAGAAACAGACTGAAAAAATCTCCACTAGTTTTGAAGATACAAGTGTTTAAAGAAACACCTGACAATTTTTTTCGAAAAACAGGCTTTTTGTTAAAAAATGCATAACTTTTTTTTCACATTTTACTATGTCAAGTCTCTCTTCGTAGTATTTTAACTTCATACTCTCTTTTGCAAAATGTTATTTTTTCTAACACTTGCAATAATACGTTTAATCGCGTTTTTCTCTCATGTATATTTTATTGAAAGTGACGGTTGCAATTTTATTGCAACTTATCGGGTGAAATGCGTTTGAGAAAAAAAATTATATCTCGCGCCTGATCGGATCGCTCCCCCGGCAACGATTCGAGGGTCGCTGGAAGTGTGCGACTTTAAACTGCGCACACTTTCGGGACCGAAAGTGAAATTCTCTTCGCTCCTTTTACCGTTCGCGACGGTGCAAATGGGGTTGTATTTGGCGGAAGGTCACCGAGTTCTCTCCTGCGCGGGCAAGAACCGAACTCCAGAGAGGTCTGGGCGTCGTTTTCTCTCTCTCGTCTTTCCTCTTCCTCCTTTTTTTCGCTCCATTTCGCCGCCACCTTAGCGGAGAAACGTATTAAGTCGGGAAATGAAGGTTGTAAAGCCCCGGGCAGCTTTTTGCCGCGACAATCACACTCGACCGGAAGTTTCGCGCTCAGCCTTCGGGGCGGTTGAGAGAGTGCAACTGGAACTTGGTCTCGCGCGCAATAGCGTCTGTCAACCTTTCCGAGCGGAATGCCCTTAGTACTTCCTACAGAAACTTCTTCGGTATCAGCGAGAAAGAAGTATTTTCTCGTTTTCGACAAGGATTCAAGTAGAAAATCCGCTCGCGCGCTACCTGCCGCGTAAGAATTGCAAAACATTCGGGCTCTTCCTGACTCGTTGGTTCGCGAGAGAGTGAAGCGCAATGGCGAAGTTGAGCGAAATAAAAGGTAAGGCTTTCGGCGCCTTTTTCCCGAGAAAGATAAAAGCAACTTTAAATATGATAAATTTTCTAACGTTATTTTCTTTTTTTTTTTTTTTTTTTACGGTCATTAACTTCCGTTACTTCGCGGAGCTACGAAACGACTTTTCGTCGCTGTGTTGCTACGCATTAAGATAAAAAATAGAAAGATCAGAAAAACACGTGATCTTTGTATTATTACTCACTTGTACTTTGTTTGTTTGTTTTTTGTTTGTTTGTTTTTTTTTATTAATTCGCGAAATACAAATGGTGGTTGCTGCGAACCCTATACGTTGCACAACTCGCGGCGGCGATGCGCGGTTAACGATTGCTTGACACGAATAGAGCGCGCACTATTTTCTGATCACGTCGTTATCTGCGCGTCGTGATTGCACAACACGAAAAGTCTACACTATCTGATTTTTTTATCACGTAACGATGCTCCAACGACTGCATATCGCCGTATAAAAGTCGTTTCTGATATTTTTAAATGTTTTTTTACCCACACAACTTTCGAACGGGGGTTGATCTACCTTTTGATTTAGTTCAGTTATCCCGCGCGCGTGCGAATGTTGCACTCGGCGAGACTCCCCTAAAATTCAGGGGAGAGAGCAAAATCCGGAACGAAAGTTTGGGAACCGACATTATGCGGACGCACGTGGTTTTAATCGATTAATAAACGGCACGCACCTGTGTCACGTTAAAGAGATTTTCGGTATAATACGCGCGCAGTTGCTACTTGCTGTTGTAGCAAACGCGTTTATAACATTTTGCATGTTTCAAGTATTATTTTCAACACTCGACCAATCGGAATCGTTATAATTTTGCATTGGAATATTAATCATATATTGAAATGTAATAATTTTGTGTTTGGAACGTTGAAATTTACACGCAATAATTGCAATATATCGAAATTAACGAGAAACTCTTTGTGACTTTTTCGTCAGTTTCTATATAGTTACAAATTTGTAATATATTTGCGCACTTAAGTGACTACTCCCATGTCAGATTAATAATTTAATTACACAAAATATTATGCACAAAATATGTTTGAAGCTTTTGCGTTTAATGTTTTAATATGCGCTTTGACAGAGTTAAGAGATTTATTAAAATGACGTGTATATAACGTATAGATACAACAGAAACAGAGATAGAGAGAGAGAGAGAGAGAAAGAGACACAAGAGGACAATACATGCGATTGAATCAATTTCCTTGATTACACGCACTGGTGCAACGAAACGGATTTACAATCCGCGGTTTAGCTAGAATTTTCTTCGTGGTTTTGCGCACTAGATGCGTCTTAGTTTATATCCGTTCCATAAATCCGATCACTTTATCGTACGGCAAAGCACGATGATCCTGCGGATGCATGCGGCCAGTACTCGTCGCTATCCCGTACGGCGGGATTTCGGTCTGCTAAGCATGTTGACAACGTGTTGTAGCGCGCGTTCTCGTCGTTGGATGCTGCGGCCTGCGGACTGCGCGCACTGATCAATATGGAGGGGAGCTTTGGTCGAGGAGGAGCGCGCGGGTAGGGGTTAGTTTCAGGGGTTGCTTCGGCGAGGGAGGCTTGTGTCGGCGGCGGCGTTGGCGGCAATAGTGACGGAGGCGATAGTACGATGGTGGTAGTGATAGTGGTGGTGGTGGTGATGGTGGTGGTGGTGGTGGTGGCGGTGATGGTGGTGGTCCCGGCGACGACGTCGGGCTACGCCGAAGGTCGATCTGCTGGTGCTGCTGCTGGTGGTAGTGGCGGTGGTGGTGGCGGCAGAATGCGAGAACCGCGAAAGGGGAAACGAGCTCTCGCGCGGTCTTACCGCGCGCAGCTTTAGCCCGAAGGGGTAGAGAGAGTCCGTACGTACGTACGTACGGTACGTACGTACTGTACGTGGTGACGGTTCAGTACGTATCGCGACGTGGACGCGTCCGTACCGCGCACTCTTCGGCCCTGACTCCACTCTTTAAACTAGGTCAACCCCCGTACGAACGGGGATCCTCTGTGCATTAGCCCCACGAGAGAGAGGAGACCTCGGCAGTAGCAGCGCGCTCGCGGCCAAAGAGCACCGTCGACGAAGGTGTCTTCGTTTTTTCCGTTGCACATTTTTTCCGTTGATCACTATAAAAAAAAAATAAAAAAACAAAAAAATAAAAAAACAAAACAAAATAAAAAACTGACAGATCACTACTAATTGTTTTACGCACAAAATAGTGCGCTCATGTTCTCGGACAGTAGTAGGGGGTGAGATTTCTCGATTCGCGAATTCGCACGAGCATGAATAATTTGGAAAATTGTTTATCGTAGTATATTCTCAGTAACAGCGTGTATCACGTGTGTGTAAGATGATTTTCAAGTGAGAGAAAAAAAAAGGGAAACCAGTTTTAGGAGATACGTTGCGTTTGTCATAGATTTCCTCTGTCGGCGGGAGATGAACTATAGGTGGTTAACAGATCTCCGAAGTGAAAAGCTATCATCAGTCGGGATGATTTTGTGTATCCGCGATGTGTGGATTAATAAATCTAATTAGCACGGATTTTCGGATGATGAAACTCTCTTTCACTGATAATCTCTATCGACAAGCGTCAGAGAGTTCGACAGCTTGCCTCTCGTTTAGAGCTTCGTTTAGAGCGATGTCGCTTTTGCGACAATAGGATCTTCATGCGTGTTCATCGATCGTCGCGAGATCGTGACGCGCGGACAGTTTGTGAACGAACGATCGTCGATCCGCGATGCTTCCGCGTCGCGTTTAACGCGCGGTTCTTCTCCTCGATTTTTGCCGAGTGACTTGACAATGTTGGTGTAGCGAATGTGCAAAACTGTCGACGAGAAATTCGGAGTGGCGTGTTCGCAATAGCACGAGCGGGATCGACTGCTGCCACCCTCTTCCTCCTCCTCCTCCTCCTCCATTCCCCGAGTGTTTGCATTGCAATTTTGCGCTCTGACGTCTGTCGTTCGACGGTCGTCGGCGCTACGCTCGTCGCAACCAGGTCAAGTGTGCGCCAGCACCACCGCTGACCTTCACGGTGCGGAATTCGGAGATCTTTTTACCGCGTCCCCGCGCTTGATTAGTGCCGCATTAACGCATCACCGTACTAATAACGTGGATTTAATCAGTAAACACGTGAAAGAGTGGTGTAGTAATAACCCTTAATTGATTACCGCGCTCATTAACGATGACATTTCAATTCCCTCTGCGAATTATATTTTCCGATATTTTGATCGAGTTTCGCGAAATAGGAAGCAACAATTCGACGACGAGGGAATAAATTATTTCTTTCATTTTCGCAACTCGCGAAATAATTCATTATATTACGTAATCGTTCGGCGCCATTATTTCGTGACGTGTCGCCACACTTTCGCGTACTTTTCCCGAAAGCAAAAATACGTAATAACATTATTGTTCGTTCGCATTTTTTTTTTTGTCGAAGAAGAACAAATTTATTTAAATCTCTCCCGCGCGTTCTGAATGTGTTCTTTCTCAATTTTATTGGACCGTAATTGATAGCGACACACAAAATCACGACGCGTTTGTGCCACAAATAACGCCCCCGGGGCGTTTATGAATAAAATTTTCCGAGTCGTAACGTCGCGGAAAACGCGGCCCTGAAAAATTCACGTCGTCACGCGGTTTTCTTCTCCAGAGAGAACGCGTGCCGCGGTACAACCGTAAAAGCACAACCCCTTCTCTTCTTTTTTACGTTTTAATCCTCTGAAAAATGCAATCCTAACCGCCCAGTTGCATTGCGCGCCGCTATCTTGCGCGCGGTCCCGAAGGAGACGCTTCCGTGATGTTCACGACTCCTTTCCTCCCTTTTCTCGAAGTACCTGACGGATGTTTCTCCGAATCCGCGCTATATATATACATATATATATATATATATATATATATATACACATATATGTATATATGTATTCCTTTTAGAGTTTCGTATTTCTGAGCGGCGCGGCGGGAGAAGAGGAGGGAATCCGGGACATATCTCCGTGCTCGTTTCCAGGGAGTAATCTCTGGAGATATGCCTCGGGTAACGGGATACGTGCCCACTTGGAGCGGATCCCGGCTCGGCTCGGCTCGGGTCGTCCGTGCGCCGCCCGTGCAAAGTCTCCGTTCATCCTCGGCTGCGGATCCTTCGATCCTTCGCTTTCGCGTGACGCGATTCCTGGATGCTCTCGAAGAGAACGATAGAACTCAATAATCCGCTCACAGCGCGAGGATCTCCTTTTTTTTTTTTTTTTTTTTTTTGTAACACGCGATTTGCGAACTTATTACGAGCGATACATCGTTACGCGCGTGTCAAAGACACATCGATATATGAATGACTCTCGTTCGAAAGCGGCTATTGATATTGAGGCGCGGCTATTAAATGTGCGATAAAATTCGAAAGCTCTCGGGTAAACGTTTTTCACGATTTGATAGCGCACTCGCGGCGCGTTTCCCATTCACCGCAAATGCGTATAAAGGCTGCGGGTATTCAAAGCGGATGTGCGGTAAAGCGCTATGTATAATCGTTTTCTCGTCTCTGCGGATGTGCATTAATGAATTAGCGCTTAAATTTGCGGATGTTGCATGTTTTGTGTCGTAATTACATTACGCCTGAGAATCAAAAGAGTTTGATCGCTTCGAAATATAATTTTTGTAATTTTGATCGAATTTTCGCCAAAGTAATTCTGACGATTCCGGTGTCTTCTTTCGAAAAAAAAAAAAAAAACATTAGATACGCGCGCGCTCGATTAATGCAAAGTATCTCGTGTCGCGCGCGAGATGTCTCTTGTAAAGTCGCGTAATGTACACTTAATCGATCATGCGCAGCCTGACAAAGTACACACACGCAACAATGTATCTTATAGTTGATTGGGAATGGTACGTCGGCCCCGGGAACTCAAACTCCGGGAATTTCTTTCGAGCGGGGGGAGGGAAAAGGGGAGGAGTACGAGTCCACTTGTTCGCCATCGATCAAAGATATATATATATATATATCTCCGTGAATTCTCCGACGAGAGGAGTTCTTCTTTGAACTCCTGCATCCTTTCGAGGACACTTTGCTGCTCGTCGTTGAAAACAATCGTCGATTTCTCGCTTGTCTTTCGAGATAATGCTCTCGCACTGTATGTATTTCAATATCGAAGTAAATGTCTCGACGACGAGACGTGACGCGATCACGATTTCTTCTTCGTTATTTCTACTGTACGTCTCTCGCTTTGGAGAATTATGTGTGTCTCGAGAGGAAATATTTTATCTTCAATGTTCTTCTTGTGCGCGCAGAGACGCACAGCGAGATCGTGTAATCACGATTCTTGGAAATGTACAATCACATTTCTGAAGCTTGAATAAATTCGCGATGGACTCGCGATTGTGTTATTGAAATTTACGATTATTAAGGTCGGCCGTTTTAACAACCCCGTTCCTATTACTTTTCACGTAGCAACCGTACGTCGCGCGAGGAGGTCGCGCGCTGCGAGAGCGTGATCGGAATAAAGCAGCGGGGGGAACACGCTTCCAGCAGCAGGAAGAATTAAAACAACGCCGTTGGCGGCGTCACGTTTTTTGGAGGACAGTCCTTCGATATTCCGCTAATAAACGGTAGAGGATAATGCGCGGTAATAAAGAATAACGCCGCGGATAGGATAACATTCCGAGAGACAAAGGGTCTTCTCGGTCTTTTTTGCGGACATCCTTGCGATAAAAAGCGACAAGATGACGCCCGCGGGATAATCGAAAGGGAATCCTTCCGTCGTAAAACAGTTTCAGTGTGTTTCTCTCGTTCGGTATTCCGGGCAAGCTCCGGCGGAGAAACTCTTCGTGTGGGATTTTCAATTTGGATTTTCGCGAAACGGAGAAGAGTACGTTCCTCGAACAATTTGTTGTGTACGCGAGTTTCAGTGACATGCTGCTCGGTATTAACAGCGAACCAAGTGCGACATCACCCAAGGATTCTTTCGCGGGACATAGCGAGAAATCGTCGAGAATTGTCGAAGGTAATTTTTCGCACGTGTGTGTTGAAAAAAAAAAAAACGAGAATCTTTTTTTTCTTTTTCTTTTATATTTTACAAAAATGTGCTTTGATTTGCAACGTCGTAAAATTCAATTTCGGTCAAAGTAATACACATTTCTCGAATGGGAATATATACAAATGTATATATCCGCGTGTGGACTATAGTTACCGCACGCGCGGGAATATTTTCCGCGAAGACAGAGTATTGTCTGAGTTTTCCTGGAGCGCGCCGCCATTGAATATATTTATTCGAAAAACCAATGCGCGGACGCGTATAAATTCTTATTTTCCTTCTGCCTTTCCCGCTCGGTAAGACGCTATATTTCGTTGGAATCTCGAAACAGCGCACTCTCGCGAATGAGAACGTAGTATGACACACGTGTCTCATAACGTTTGTGTATACACATAAGCGAACGAATTTTGCAATGTTCGCAAATAAATAAAAACAAATGGAAGACACAAGAGAGAAGGTTGTTTCTTCTATGATTTTGTTGCATATTTTCTATCTCTATATAATTTTGCGTATTGCGTGATTTTATATTATTAGTTTATATATTATTTAGATTCATTTTATATTTATAAAAAGAATCGAGAAGATTATTTTGCGCCATTTTTTTTTGTCGGTTTCGAGAGCCCGCCCCGATAGCAGAAGCGCTTGATCCGCCTACGTGTCAGCTCTGTAAATCCGGAACGGAATAACGTCGCGACTTTTCACCGACTTCGACGGCTCGGCGGAAAATCTCGGGAAATTTGTGCGACGTTCGCCGAGCGCTGTTCTCGCGCTGTGCGCGCAGTATCGCCAGTGTTGTCGCCGCCGATAAGTATCGCGCGGATGCGGAGCCAACCGGAAATTCTCGCAATCTGCGATCCCGTGTCGATCCCTTTACTCCCTGGGTTCCGAATGAAATCCCGCGCGCCTCTCCTCACGCCGCTGGCTGCTGCGCGTTGCTGTTGCTCCGCTATTCTTTCGCATCCATTCTCTCGCCCGTTCACCTACCTTTTCCCTCCTATCGCGTTTGTATTCGTTCGTTTTTTTCCCACTTTCCCGTTGCTCTCGCGCTCTTCTCGTGATTGTTGATGAAAAATATCTCGGCGAGATCGATCTATCCACGTCCAGGCGCATTTTGATCGATTTCTCGAAAACAAATATTTCACTTTATTTATAAATAAATTTTTAATTTTTTAAATACCACAGTTAATGAAAAAAATTGCTCGAAATAAAGAACGTGTTTTTTTATGAGTTCGCGAACGTTGCGAAAACGTTGTGACGATGTGATATATATCTCTAAGTGTTTTAAAACAAAATTACTCTCTTGTACTTCTCTCTCTTGTACGTAATATATTTTACAGTATTACTTTTCTACGAGTTATCTATCATGACGGGAAGCAGAAGAGGTAGAGAAGAAAAGAGCGAACACTTCATGTTCTCTAGTAGTTCATGCATGAAAATTTTATCTACAATATGTTTGCTCGTCTGCTTTACCATCAGTCTGCTTTTTATTCAATTTTATTACTTGTCCTGTGCTCTTCGTTCCCCCGCTTCTGTTTTTCTTTTTTCTCTTTTCTGTCTTGCACCGCGTACGAAAAATATTCCATAGGAGAGAAAAGAAGAGCGGGAGAAAAGGGAGAGAAATTATTGCACGCTGTGAAATACTTTCGTGGGATCAGCACGTCGATCTCTTTACTGCCGGTTCGATAAGTCCCGAACTTCCGCTCTTTTTCGTCGAAAGACTTCTTCTTTGTCAATTCTGGAAATCTTTTTCGTATTCGAAGATACATGTACGTACTTTGAGGTGGTTCTCTTTTTGTTGAGGTAGTGTGTTCTACGATGGATATATTAAATCTCTGAGATAAAAGCAGCGAAAATTCGTTCGACGTTCGTTCAAAAATCTCAAAGTGATTCAAAACAGGCAAAAGTTAAACCTCCCAATTACATAATTTTCACGTTTTTATCACGTTCATGTCACATTTTAAACGTTGTTCAAATGATAATTCGACAAATCTGTTCGCGAGATTTACGTTTGTTTAATTTTCTTTTTTTTTCTTTTTTTTCTTACAATCTGCGTTTTTTTCACAAAAGAAAACCTTTGACAAAGGTAACGTAATCAAGAACGTCGGATTTTTTTTGTCTGAAAATATATTTATCGAACTTCTTCCATCTTCTTCCGTTTTAAACATCCGCGACAGGACAAAGGCCAAAAGGCATCATTGCAGAATCTACGAAGATCAGCGCCGTTGATCCTTTTATTTCCGCCTCGATAAATTGCGAGCCTCAGCAAGATTTGTCCACGAAATTTTCTTCGCAATCGTTTCTATAAATCTCTCGAGAGGAGAGGTGATATCATTCAAAGTTTTTATTTTTTTTTTTTTTGTGTTCTCGGTCGAAACGCGATAAGAACACGATGGCCCGACGAACTCGCATTTGCTTCGAACCTTTTGCGAACTCGGTTTTTCTCCACCCCCGTTGCTCTGCTTAAAAATACTGTTTCTACGCGAAAAGGTCGATACGATTTGGAGGCATCCCGGACGTTTCTCTCGTCTGGATTCGATAAATCTTGAACTTTGACGTTTTTACTATGTAACTCCTTTGCCACCGCGTGCGCATAAATCCTCTCCAACTTTTCCGATTCACGGGGAGGCCCCCGCAGGATATCGTATCGCGGCTCGTTGGATATCGAAAGACCCGGCGCGCACCGCCGGTTCGTTTATTACCGGCGCGCTTCTCTTTCGCAAGATTGTGCTTACGTCAGACGTAAGTACCACGACGGGTGCTTTCTTTTTTTTTTCCCTCTCCCCTTTGCTTTCACCGCATCAAAACGTGTTTTCGTCGAACATGCAGTTTCAGGTTTTGACGGAAACCTCTTTCTCTCTCTCTCTCTTCCTTCTCTTCGACAACTCCCGATAAATCTCGAACGTTCAAGCGATAATCCATAAATCTCGCGAACTTCCCATCCGTCGACTTTTCGACGTCTTGACCGCAGCATCGACGTCTCTGTCTTACACCCGTGTGTTACGTTCGTGTTTTCGTTTTTCCGCCAGAACTATCACTTCGTTTTGCTCCGGGCTCCGCGCCGTCTCTCCTCGTCCGGTGAAAATATTTTTACGGGGCAGAAGTTTTCGAGCGCGCGCGTCGTCGCCGTTTCGCTCTTGTAACTATCAGTCCGATAAATCTCTAACTTCTGAAAAGAGAGCAGGAGAGAGAGAGAGAGCATCGCCATGTTCTATAAATTTGCCCGCTCGTTCCTCGTGAACTCTCATCGTCATTACTCTTGCATTTCTTGACCAGCGTACTTTGACGCGCGTCTTGTTATACGAGAGATAACGCTGTTCCGCGCCGTGAGTTTATAAACGCGTCTCTCCTCGCCATTGGTTCACCGGCATCTTCCCGATATCTTCGTTTTTCTTCTCCTCTCGATCGGTCTTCACTTCGCTTCCTGTTATCGGGACGTATATCCGATATCCCGTAGTCGAATATATCGGCCAGCTTTTATCTTACCTCCTTTTTTCGCCGCTCGCTTCCGGGATTCAGCTTGCTCGCGATAATTTTTTTCTTCGGGAGAAAAACGCACGCGACGAAATTTCTTCGGTGTGCAACACGCCACGACAGCGATTCCACGCTCGCGATTTCTGTAACAAGTCGCGCTTCCTTCGACAACTTAGAAAATTGCCGACGTAGTCGCAAAATGTGCGTTCGAAGAAGAAGCGCTCGTTTCTATCTTACAGCGAGCATTTACGTTCGCTACGTGCGCGAACGGAAAAATATTCTGAAATCTACGCGCCCAGTGCATTTCGCGTCATCGTCGAACGTGCGCGCATATATATATATAGGCGAACGTTAAACAGAATTTACGCTATCGTTCTTATCGCGAGATGTACGTGTCGTAGACACGTTTTCTTTGCAATTCTTTTTCTGTTCTTTCACGCCTTATAAAAGGGATAAGACGCGCTAAACTCGATAATGTCTTTCCGTACGAAGCTGCCCTCGTACGACAGTTTTACTTCCGCCTCTTGCCTTTCGGGAATCGAAATTCGAGGACAGTATCCCAATTTACGAGGTCGGCTTTTATACCCAGCGGGAAACTCGAAAATGACTCGACGTAATCCTCATAAATTTCGCGAAGCACCGGCCAAAAAAAGGAAAACAAAAGACGAGCCTCTCAGATGGAGTTTTCTCTTTTTCTTACCGCCGCCTACTTATCAGTGGAAGACGCTGGCCGACGCTCCCACGGGAAAAATTTTTCCTCTTCGCCGTGGACGAAGAAGAGTAAAATTTTTACGAACCTCTTGTTCGTCGAAGAAAATCAAATAAACTCGTTCGTCCGCCGCTCGCGATTAGTTGGAATCCAAAATCCATACTATTTGCGCGTCGTGTTTTTCTAGAATATCTCGAGAGAGAGAAAAAAACACAATTTCGGAATTGTGCTTTGCTTTTGCCGAAGTTTCTTGAAAAATTCTCGGTTTTTTTTTAGATACAATATTTGTAGATAAATTAGAGTTTTCACACACAACAGAGTTTTTTCTTAAATCGTAGATTTAATGTTTTCAAAATAAATTTCAAAAATAAATCTCGCAAATAGCGAATTGCTCCGCTTTAACGTTAGCGATATATCGCCTGTCTTTGATTTTCACTTTGTGTGACGCGTATGAATGTTCAATGATTTTGTGCAATCGAACACACACACACACACACACAAACAAACACACACGCATACGCGTCGTTCTTTTCATTCGCGGGCAAACGCCACAGAGTCTGCTATTTTCCAAAGGAACGCTTATCGCATCGCTTTAACCTCGATTTCCGAGTTGTGATATGACACGCACGTATACACATCACGTGAGAAATCGTTGCGTTCTCTCGCAATTTTACACTGCGTGTAATCTCCGACTTCTGACATTTGAAAAATTTGAATTCCGACCGCGAGCTTTAAATGTCAAAAACTCTTTGCAAATGGTATCAACATAAACAGATTGTCTAAAATAAAAAAGTTACTTATATCAACGCGTTCGTTTGGTTAGCAGCGTTTGTTTCAATCAATTTTTTTATTTGCGTACTACAACAACAAACACAGGTACATTATCGAACTATTTGCTGTTTGAAAATACAAATCAGAATGTTTTTTTTTTTTTTTTATTGATTTTATGTGAAATGAGTTTTGAGCAACATTGCTTTGTGTTATTGCAATTTTGCAAACAAACATTGTTTTATTGTGTTAAAATTTATTTCGTCATTTGCAGACGGTGTCGTACACACGTGGAGCTTGTGATTTGCGTCAGTTGTCTCTCGTCATCTTTCATGTCAAGAATAAAAACTGCGCGAAGAAGCGTCGCGATATCACGTTTTTGGACATATTGATAGTGGTGCTCGTGTAACGAAGAATAAATCATAAGGCGAGCATTGAGGGAGAAGGTGCCCATCATCACTCTCGGCATGAAAGGTGAGTTTTGTCCATACGCGCGCAATATATTTTTGTTTTGTGTTATTACAAACAACACAAAACACACACGACTAGAATTCTTTGTTACAGTATGACGAAAAACGAACTATGTGTCAAACGGTTATGTATATCACAATGTAAATCAAAGTTTGTACAATTTCATAAAACTACTGCGAATGCGTTGTTAAAAAAAAAAAAAAAAAAACCATTTCCGATTAGAGATAAATTATTGAGATCTCGGAGGAGACATTATGATTTTGTTTGAGTGCGGATGGCTTGTGTGTACATAATTGAGCAGCGAAACCAACAGGAGTGAAGAGCACACTCGAGCAAGTACTTTTTTTTTTGCCGATATTGTAACCGCGTCCCAAGAGTCACGTATGAATACGAAACAAACGTCGGAATGATATTCACGCGACTACGTGTGTGTTTACCCCCTTGTAGTTTTTTTATTTTTTTTATTTTTTTTATTTTTTTTTTATTATAGACAGCCGATTTGATTAATTACATCGAATAACGATTCATTTCTCGCGCAAATAAATTTTGCGGCGCGGCGATTTAATAACGTCGATAAAAATCTTTTTCCGCGCGCGGCATCCACGATATGCTACAGCTGAACTCGCTGTACGCGTAGTACTTGTGTGTTGAATCCGATGTACCGGCCGCATGCACATACGCGCGACTTCCATCATGTGTAACATACGGGGGAAAATGTTTTTTGAAATTTTATTTCATGTCGAATTATTAACCCGTGGTCGTTCACAAAAGATTGCGTGATAGAGTAACATAAAAATATCGATTACAGAGTAATTTGCGTTGTACGCTAACTTTTCTCTCTCTCTCTCTCTCTTTTGTTCTGTTATATTCAATTTATTTTATTCAAGCATATTTCACGGAATATCCTCCTCTTGAAACGAGAAAATCTCTCATGCAGTGTTTTCTCTTCCCACGAAGTTAAAATATATATATATACTTTTTTTCCCACTTGCGTATTTAAAATAATAGACTCAAAAATAAAAAAGGCTCGGTTTTTCTTACGGGCGAAAAAACAGACACGTAATTACGTACGTAGATTGTATTTTTGTAAATCCCCCTCTTTTCAAAAAAACATTGAATTGTCAATTTTGCGGATGTGTTTTTGTTACACAAATCTGCTCTGACAAAATGAACTTTGTGGGAAAACGACCGGTATGCGAAAACTCGCTTTATCCGAACGATCGTATTATACCGATTGGGATAGAAAATGAAGAGTCTCTACACACCTGTGTGTGTGGTCGATTAAAAAATATCATTCGATATCGGGTGTAGCACTTCGTTATGAAAATTCTATCATATTTCATCATTGCTATCGAGATGTCAATCAAAATGCAAAGCGACAACGATATTGCGATCGTCAGATACGATTGCCGCGCGGTTATGATAGATTTATACACTCTTTCGTTCTTGAAAGTGTGTGCGCGTGTGTGTGTGTATCAACGAGAAGAAGTCACTCCCTGTCGGGGGCGACTACGCGAAAATTGGCGGAATTTCGTGTCCGGCCTGGGGAGTATTACGCGGCCGTGGAGTAACAGCTGTTTTGCATAACCCAATTAGCTGGTGGCGCGTGCATACTAGAATTAAACTCGGCGTTTCACTCGACGCGCGCTTGAAAATCGTCGGCGATCTTTAACCGTCTGATCGCGAGATTCGCCGCGTTTTTAGTTTTTACTTGTAATTTTGCGCGTATGTGTGTGAAAACAAAATACATCAAGATACATCATCTGTCTGATTATTTGACGTTGTGACTGGCAATTTGTGGATCGTCTCCCCTAATTAAGACGCGGACGAGCACGATGACTTGTCATTCATTATTCATAAACCGTAAGCTATCTAAGCCGCGCTGTAGACTTTATTAAAACGTCAGCCCCACCGAAGCAATTTGCGTGTGTGTTTTGTGCGCGCAGCGCCCGAACACGACGTTAATTAGCCAATGGCCTGTCTGTATTAAGCTTTACTGCGGAAAATCAACATTTGAACAAATTAGGATATTTACAGATAAGATATGTATGTGGGTCTGTGACGCCCCCCCCAGTTGTCAACGCGCATTGAATAGCTTCTGCCACTAAAGAGAAACGACTTTCTGTCGCGAGGTGTCTCTTCGTCTTCAAATTATAAGCCGCTTCTATTCAGAGAAAAACTTTTAATGAGCGCTTCGATATTTATATCAAGATTTTTTTTTTCTCTTCAAATTTACTTACTTCTTTCGAAGTTACCTTACTGGTAATGGAGACCACGACCAATTTGCGAGTTGACAAACAACGTGTTCACAATGCAAGTATTTATTCACTCACGTTCATTCACGTGCGCCGTGTCGTCGAATAATCGAATATGACGTAATTGGCACGATCCTGCAAGTCGCGTCCCAGAGCCTGTTAATCGAATCTTGTCTCTGCCTGTTATAATTAAAGTTCCTCGCTTATTGGTCCCCCCGGTGGAATAATCGCAAAATTTGACAGGTCTAAAATTAATGTATTCTCTTAACGATGATTAAAAAAAACGACGTCTGTGTTCAATCAAAATAATTGATTGAAAAATTTAGCAGAACTTTTTTTTTTTTAATTGTCGTCAGAAAAATTATATTTTAGATTAAAAAATGTCAAATTTTGTGATTATATATTTCGTTCCAGAACTAATAAGCGGGAAACTTTAATTATTGAGGTATTAAAATTTATTTTGCGTAAAACACGCGTAATTGCGTTGTATGTGATTATTACTAATATAATTAAAACAATTCTTGTGTGTAAACAGTGTGATATTATCAGAAGTTAATTGAGAATTGAAAATTAGAGAAAACAAATGTATATTTCTTTGTCACGCACCAGACGCAGCGATTAGCTTTCAGCTGCTTCTGTATTAATCCGAGCCACCGATGCTAGGTGCAAATGTCTCTATGCGACTTGATCCCACGATTAACTGTCACCCTTATGTGACGGCTATTTGTGTGCGTAATTGTATGGTTGCCGATGCAAACGGTATATCGCGATCGTAAATCCGATACTGAATTATCCTGATGATAACGTATCGCGATACTCCCCGGTTTTGGATATAAATCGTCTCGTTTGCTTTCTGAGCAGCGCTCGTGAACCCAAATTATACCAATATTATACTTTTTGGATTTTTTTCGCTCCAATAACCGAATGAGAGATTGCGCGCGGACTCCTGAGAATTTGTCAAATTGTTTTTCGCGTTCAATCTCTGTTTTTTTTTTTTTTTCAAAAACTGAGAGCGCAAAGATATTTTTATGATCGAAGAAAGTTTGTCCAATGAGACGCTAACAACAAATCGAGACGCGAGATTTCGAAATTTAATTAATTAGACAGCTACGAATGTGTTTTTTTTTAACGTAAAATTATCGACTACAGACGTGTACGTGATGAAAATGTATATTTACCTCGCGGATGTCCTACATCGATATCGAATGTATCTCATGTAAGCGCGCACGTGTAATCATTGGCTGGCGCACATAGCACGAGTACTCAGATCGCAACCCGATATAATGAATTATACCCGTTAATATATGATAGTCGGGACTGCTCGCACGGACGATAAATTGTTTCCGTTGTTTTTGCCGCGTAACGCAAGCCGTACACCCTGTACACCTGAATTTACATCGCTTTAATTGCGTCTTCCCGTGACGAATATTTTTGCCGGCAGCAATGCGGAAATGTGAAAATGTTGCCCAAATATTTGTTCCGTTCGGCTTTTAAACGACGACGAGCAATTGTGGTGGAAATTTTTCAGCCGAAAAAGCAAAGCGCAAATACGGTATATATAAAGAGAAATATACAACGTATTGATCTCTCTTAACGGATATTACGGTAGAAACAATACAAATAACGTCACGTATACGTAGTTCTTGGAAGATTGAGTCGGGGCGAGAACGACGTTGACAGAAAAGTGTAGCGTCTCTGACAGAGACGGATGTGTGCGCGATCAATTCTCATTTCTGGAATAATAAAATTAGCGGCTTAATGTCTCGTTAGTTCAAGATTCGTCAGACTCTGACGTACGATGTTACGAATGACGTTTAATCTATGAATAATGCGCTTTAACTCGAGTGAATGCATATAAGATATAGCTGTGTGTGTGTGTGTGTGTGTAAGAGACAGTTATAGTAAGACATAGTATATGTAGGAGACAGTTTCTTCAAGTACAATTATTTTCATGACAGTATAAATAGACATGGAGAAATAACGTAGAAGTTTAAACTCTCGGATTTAAACTCTTTAGACCGATTTGTTTTTGTTCAAAAGATACAAGGAGTTTTGACAGCGGTGGAGAAAAGTAACGTGTACACTCTCTAGCCATGTGTACGATCTTAGTTGTCTCAATATTTTTTCCACGCTCACACAAGGATTGCAGTTTCATACATGAAAACGGCGCCCCCCGTCCCGTTATTAACAAAGAATCAGACTCGAAGTTATGCAATAACTCCGTTCGCTCCGTAGGCAACTCCGTCGTGGGTTAGGTTCTAGGAGTTTCCCGCAACTTTCGAGTATTACTCGTCCGCGTAACTTCCCTCGGAGGGAGCTTAAATGCCCTCTTTTCGAAGAAGTCAGATTTTAAGAGACCGCGCCAACCAAATTCGAGGCCGGGGATTGTCGATTAAAATTTCAATGTGAAATCTCTTTTCGCGGACCCTAAAGCGTAATTATTAGATAAGAGGAAAAGCGGGGGGGGGGGAGAAGGGAGAGAAGTGTGGCATAATTAACGAATCTTAATGACTTCGGAAAATGTTTTGGTAATGTTTAGTGATGAAGTTCCCGTCGCGTAATTATATCGCGATTATTATTACGTAAAGTATAACATCGTCTACTCCGTTATACGCGAGAACTTTATTCTAACTTGATGGAAGTGCGGCCCGCAGAAATCTCATTAGATTGCTCCGTCGAAACTTGGAGCGGCCGAAGAAGTGCGTTTAATTTAATAAATACGTCATTAAGTTCCGGGAATAATCGAAA